AAATTTTAAGGATTTCATATTTGTAATTTGTACGCAAACATACAAATTACAAATATGAAAAGGATCTGTTTCCAATCACCTATTTTTTTTGTCTGTGCATCGGTAGGTAGGTAAGGGAAGGGGTTAGGTGGGTTGCTAGGGTTCGCGCGAAGAGTATTTTGTACGTCGTGGACAATACCCCACTATGATCGCCTAAATTGGCCCTCAACCCGCCGCTGCTAAGGCCACGAGGAGCCAGGAATCTTCCTGCCGACGACCAAGCGATTGGGCACCATTACTTTCCCTCCGTCCCATCCCAAATCCTTATCCTGACCCCTTCCCAGGGCTACATAGCCGTTATGGCTTGGCGCTTTCCCCCTGATCATTAAAAATGGCTGCCGACGAGGTCATTATTGAAGACCTTCAGTGTTGTTGTTGTTGTTGTTGTTCTTGTTGTTGTTGTGAACACGTCTTGTTCCAGAGAACAGCGTTGCCAATATGGCGGTGTGTGTGCAGTGTTGTCAGGCAGAGGTGCACCCTCGAGGCGTACACAAGTACACAGGTACACAAACATACAGGTACACAGGCACACAGGTACACAGGTACACAAACACACAGGTACAGTTACACAAACACACGGGTACACAGGTACACAAACACACAGGTACACAGGTACATACGTACACAGCTACACAAACACACGGGTACACAGCTACACAAACACACAGGTACACAGCTACACAGAGACAGGTACACAGCTACACACACAGGTACACAGTTACACAGGTACACAAACACACAGTTACACAGGTACACAGTTACACAAACACACAGTTACACAGGTACACAGTTACACAAACACACAGTTACACAGGTACACAGTTACACAAACACACAGTTACACAGGTACACAGTTACACAAACACACAAGTGCCTCACACATCAACCCATTCTCATGTTTAGACAGTAAAGTCCTGTTAGATAGTCCTGTCTATCATGATAGACGAACAGACATGTTCTGTCATATCATGATAGCCTTTAGATATCTTGAGAGGTTATCTTGAGATGATTTCGGGGCTTTTTAGTGTCCCCGCGGCCCGGTCCTCGACCAGGCCTCCACCCCCAGGAAGCAGCCCGTGACAGCTGACTAACACCCAGGTACCTATTTTACTGCTAGGTAACAGGGTTCTAGGTAATAGATAGTTCTCTATCTATGTACACCGTCGTACATATATATAGACGTATTGGGCAATTAGATAGTAGAATTTAGTACTATTCGCTTGACAAGAGTTCGGGAAAAAAATAAAGACCTAAAAACCAAACTTATATATTCCTAGGCCTAGAATAGTACATATATGTACTATTTTAGGCCTCAGATAGCATGTCTTAGGTCCCAGGATGGTTAGGTTAGGGTTTTAATAGTAACATAAATGCAAAAAAACTTTTCCGGTTTGTCTAAATTTAATTGTACCAATTTCTACTCTCTAATTAATATATTGCACAACTGCTCTCATCGTTACTAAATAGATACTATCTAAATAGATACTATCTAAATAGATACTATCTAAATAGATACTATCTAAATAGATACTGTCTAAATAGATACTGTCTAAATAGATACTATCTAAATAGATACTATCTAAATAGATACTATCTAAATAGATACTGTCTAAATAGATACTATCTAAATAGATACTGTCTAAATAGATACTGTCTAAATAGATACTATCTAAATAGATACTATCTAAATAGATACTATCTAAATAGATACTATCTAAATAGATACTGTCTAAATAGATACTGTCTAAATAGATACTATCTAAATAGATACTATCTAAATAGATACTATCTAAATAGATACTATCTAAATAGATACTGTCTAAATAGATACTATCTAAATAGATACTATCTAAATAGATACTATCTAAATAGATACTATCTAAATAGATACTGTCTAAATAGATACTATCTAAATAGATACTATCTAAATAGATACTATCTAATAGATACTATCTAAATAGATACTGTCTAAATAGATACTGTCTAAATAGATACTGTCTAAATAGATACTATCTAAATAGATACTATCTAAATAGATACTATCTAAATAGATACTATCTAAATAGATACTATCTAAATAGATACTGTCTAAATAGATACTATCTAAATAGATACTATCTAAATAGATACTATCTAAATAGATACTATCTAAATAGATACTGTCTAAATAGATACTATCTAAATAGATACTGTCTAAATAGATACTATCTAAATAGATACTATCTAAATAGATACTGTCTAAATAGATACTATCTAAATAGATACTATCTAAATAGATACTGTCTAAATAGATACTATCTAAATAGATACTATCTAAATAGATACTATCTAAATAGATACTATCTAAATAGATACTGTCTAAACAGCAGGTAGAACAGCCTATTGACAGAGCTCGGGTGCATGGGGGAATTGTGTAAAAACCTGGTTTGTGTCTCGGAGCGACTACAGGACCCGCGGTAGGTCACGTTGATTTCCCGGTTGCAATTCTTTTACCATGTCGTAGCTCAGTCGATTAAGGCGGCGTCTGGGATGCTCTCTGACGTAGGTTCGAATCCTCGTCACGGCCCTTGTGGATTTGTTTAACGGGTATATTGGAAAGTTAGGATGCTTCTGGTTTTCCTAAGTTATCCTGGGTTAGGATAGGTTGAGTAGAGTTGGGTTAGGTTAGGTTAGATTGAGTTAGATAAGGATAGGATAGGTTAGATTGAGTTAGATAAGGTTATGATAGGTTAGATTGAGTTAGATAAGGTTAGGATAGGTTAGATTGAGTTAGATAAGGTTAGGATAGGTTAGATTGAGTTAGATAAGGTTAGGATAGGTTAGATTGAGTTAGATGAGGTTGTAATAGATTAGGTTACGTTCAGTTGGGTAATGTTGAGCTTAGTAAGATTAGGTTAGATTAGGTAGAGTTGATTCAACACGATATAATCTCCACATTTAACACGACACACAGGCGGAGGAACTTTCAAAGGCATTTTCAAAACAGCTAAATAGTAGTTTAGCTGGAGCAGCGGTCCTGTGAACCCCCCCTATCCCTATCCATACCCCCTAACCCCGTCCTGTATTACTAACATGACCCTTTGGGAGGGTAGAAATAGCCTAAGTTACTCTATCCCTTTGAGATGAACTGTCTCAATAAACGTACTTGAACTAACATGACTCGTGGCTTTGCGTGTCTGATTGATGATTGATTCAGCCACCCCAAAGGTGGCACGGGCATGAATAGCCCGTAAGCGGTGGAACTTTGGAGGCATTACCAGTATCATTAGCTGATATGTGCGTGTCTGCTCCACCAATAACAGCAGCGACTTTCAGCATCGGTCGTAGGTCTGTTCCCCCTATTACAATGTTGTCCCTCATAATAATGTGTCATGCTGTAGGGGGAGGGCGTGTGAGATCGGTGGGCGCGTGGGCGTATCTGACTTAATATCCTTGCAGGAGGTACGGGCGTCAACCAGATGGGCGGCGTATACGTCAACGGCCGACCACTGCCCGACCACATCCGACACAAGATCGTGGAAATGGCTCACTCAGGCGTACGTTCCTGCGACATCTCCCGCATACTCCAAGTCTCAAATGGCTGTGTATCCAAGATCCTCGCTAGGTGAGTGTACGCGGGCCGCTGTCTCCCTAACCCCGAGCTCTCTGGTATCCCTTGCAGGCCATAGCGGAGTCAACCAACTGGGGGGCGTGTACGTGAACGGCCGCCCCCTGCCTGACTCCACGCGGCAGAAGATTGTGGAACTGGCCCACTCTGGTGCCAGACCTTGCGACATCTCCCGCATACTTCAGGTGTCCAATGGCTGCGTCTCCAAGATCCTGGCCAGGTACGCCCGCTAGGGGTCCTGGGGCGGCTTCTGATAAGTCACCTGCGAAGGTGCTATCTAATCTTAGATACTCAAACACATACTCGGCACTCAGATACTTCTTGATCTTTACACACAGAGATCACACACTAACGTGATGCATCAAATGAACAAATCCACAAGGGATTTGTCGTAGCTCAGTCGATTAAGGCAGTGTCTGGGATGCTCCCGGACGCAGGTTCGAATCCTCGTCACGGCCCTTGTGGATTTGTTCTTGATCTTTGTTAAGCTCAACTCAAAACTCTGAACTTCCTCAAATTTGTTTGATGTGTAAGCTAAGTGTTAATGCATGATACTCATCAGCAAAGAGTTATATCAGAGCCTTTTATCGCTAGCGGATACACCAACACCCGGGGCATCTGACTGACGCCCCTTCGTGTCTCTCTCCGACAGGTACTACGAGACCGGGTCTATCAAACCTCGCGCCATCGGCGGCTCCAAACCTCGCGTCGCTACACCTCACGTCGTTAACAAAATCGCGGACTACAAGCGCGAATGTCCGTCCATCTTCGCCTGGGAGATCCGCGACCGTCTGCTGTCTGAGTGCGTCTGTACCAACGACAACATTCCCAGCGTGAGTACCCTTCTGCTTGCTTCCACGAAGGTGTTACGCAAGTACTTACGAACGTGTACATCTTTCCTCAATCTTTGACAGCTTTCTTTATTAAACAGTTTACAAGCATGAAAACTTGCCAATCAACTGTTGTTCTTGTTATAAACAGCCTCCTGGTGCTTCGGAGCTCATTAACTGTTTAATAATTGTAAACAAAGCCGCCAAAGATTGAGAAAAAGATGTACAGGTTCGTAAGTACTTGCGTAACTGCTTCGTGAATCTGGCCCCCCCTGGTGCCTAATTACGCAGCCGAGTACTTCCCCCATTCCCGTGCTGGGACTGGGGAGTACTTGCCTGAGTACAAATGTGTACTTGGAGTACATAACTGGAGAATGTGTCCCCAGCTCTGGTTGGACTGTAATATCCCAGGAGTACAAATTACATACTCTTCTCCAAATTAGTACTCTTCTCTTCTCCAAATTAGTACTCTCCTCTTCTCCAAATTAGTACTCTCCTCTTCTCCAAATTAGTACTCTCCTCTTCTCCAAATTAGTACTCTCCTCTTCTCCAAATTAGTACTCTCCTCTTCTCCAAATGTGTGGGAATGATTTGGGGATGCAAATGTTGCCTTTTGGGGGGGGGGTTAAGGGAATTCCAAAGGTACTTCTCTGGAGTCAATATGATTCCAAAGGGTAGGGGGGGGGCTCTATAGACCCAATATGATGTCTATGTCACAACAGATGACGCCAGCACATGTTACAAATGCGTAACTGCGTAATTCTCCAATACTAACTATGCTCTTGGGGCCGTGTGTGTGTGTGTGTGTGTGTGTGTGTGTGTGTGTGTGTGTGTGTGTGTGTGTGTGTACTCACCTAGTTGTGTTTGCGGGGGTTGAGCTCTGGCTCTTTGGTCCCGCCTCTCAACCGTCAATCAACAGGTGTACAGATTCCTGAGCCTATCGGGCTGTCATATCTACACTTGAAACTGTGTATGGAGTCAGCCTCCACCACATCACTTCCTAATGCATTCCATTTGTCAACCACTCTGACACTAAAAAAGTTCTTTCTAATATCTCTGTGGCTCATTTGGGCACTCAGTTTCCACCTGTGTCCCCTTGTGCGTGTTCCCCTTGTGTTAAATAGACTGTCTTTATCTACCCTATCAATCCCCTTCAGAATCTTGAATGTGGTGATCATGTCATGTGTGTGTGTGTGTGTGTGTGTGTGTGTGTGTGTGTGTGTGTGTGTGTGTGTGTGTGTGTGTGTGTGTGTGTGTGTGTGTGTGTGTGTGTGTGTGTGTGTGAACGCGCGCGAGTGCGCGTGTGTCGGCAGCGCTCCCCTCAGCACTGACCAATCACCGCGCGCCGTAGGGGGGCTCACCGCTACTGTTGCCCACTTTAGATAATTACACATCATTAAACCCCCCCTCAACCCCCTATTTACATCACCTCCAACCACCCTCTAAAACAAACACCCCCTCCCATTTCCACCCATCATCGTACCCCTGCTAACAACCCACCCTAATCACCCCCGAAAGACCCCAATTAAACCCCCCGTAAACAGGTTGGTGGCGGTTCGCGGCACCTCAACACACCAGCTGTTACACAAGGGGTTTCCCGCGCAAAATGGAAACTGTATCCAGGCTTTTTGCTCTTCGCCGCTCGGACGGAAATCCATCATGTACTGTCAATGGGCTGGAGGATTGTTTCTTAATGGTTATTTCGGCGCCAATTGGTGAAGAGGGAACCATGTGTTGATGAGGCGGGGTTGGGTTACCTCTGTGGTGGCCGCACGCGCGTGCGTGTGTGTGTGTTGTGGGTTCTCTGATGATCTTAGATTTTGGGATGATATGGTTATGTTGGTTTTTTTGGTCTTTGGCTTGTTGGTGGATGGTGTGTTGTTGTTGGTGGTGGTAGTGGTGGTGGTAGTGGGTGGGTGTGGTGGTAGGTGGTGGATGGTGTGTTGTTGTTGGTGGTGGTAGTGGTGGTGGTAGTGGGTGGGTGTGGTGGTAGGTGGTGGTAGGGGGTGGTGGTGGTGGTGGTGAGGGAGTTGTTATAATGGTGGTAAAGGTGGGTGGTGGGAGTGTTGGGGAGGTAGGGGGTGGTCGTGGTGGAGGTAGGGGGTGGTTGTGGTGGTATGGGGTGGGGTGTGGTGGTGGTGGGGGGGGAGGCTGGGGTGGTAGTGGTGGTGGTTGGAGATGAATGGCGTCGGGTTACGACAGCTGACAGAGCCACGTGGGAGGGGGGAGGGGGGGGGGGCGCGTGCCTTTAATAAAGGTGGGAGGAGGTGTGTAACTTTATACAGGTCATGCCATGCCCCAGAGCCCCCCCTGCCCCCCTTGCCCCTTGCCCCCCTTGCCCCCTACCTACCCCTACCCCCTCTAAATCCACCCCCTCTCCCAAGTTAAAGGTGCTGCCCCAGAGCCCCCCTGCCCTTGCCCCTTGCCCCCCTTGCCCCCTACCTGCCCCCTACCTACCCCTACCCCCTCTAAATCCACCCCCCCACCACCCCCTCTCCCAAGTTAAAGGTGCAGCCAGCAGGCTATGATTGACACCTGTCACCCGCTACTCATCCATCAACCCACTTGACTTAATGCTAGGGGAGAACAAGCGACTCATCCACTAGTTCCTCACCTCATCCACCACACCCTATCCTCATCCACCTGAGTGAGGAGTGAGGGTGGTCGCGATAAGAATGTTCATAGTGACAAAAACAGGTAATTGGTCCCTTTAACGTAATTGACGATAACTTGGTTTGATTGGAAAGAAATTTAACTAAATTGAAAACTTAATCTACTCCCCCTCTTCCCCCCCCCCCTCACACACACACACACACACACACACACACACACACACACACACACACACACACACACACACACACACACACACACACACACACACACACACACACACACACACACACACACAGGGGGCCTCGTAGCCTGGTGGATAGCGCGCAAAACTCGTAATTCTGTGGCGCGGGTTCGATTCCCGCACAAGGCAGAAACAAATGGACAAAGTTTCTTTCACCCTGAATGCCCCTGTTACCTAGCATTAAATAGGTACCTGGGAGTTAGTTAGCTGTCACGGGCTGCTTCCTGGGGGTGTGTGGTGTGGAAAAAAAGTAGTTAGTAAACAGTTGATTGACAGTTGAGAGGCGGGCCGAAAGAGCAAAGCTCAACCCCCGCAAACACAACTAGGTGAATACACACACACACACACACACACACACACACACACACACACACACACACACACACACACACACACACACACACACACACACACACACACACACACAACACACACACACACACAACACACACACACACATACACACACACACACACACACACACACACACACACACACACACACACACACACACACACACACACACACACACACACACACACACACACACAGCTGTGGTCACGTGCTGACGGCAACTCTCCCAAATGTGAACAAAATACAAACACAATTAGCAGTAAATGAGACTTGTGTACCTGGCTGTTTGGTCTGGCACGCCATCTGTCGCCACCACAACATAACACCCACCCAGCTGTTCTTGCTACACCCTCCAGCTGTTCTTGCTACACCCCCAGCTGTTCTTGCTACACACCCCAGCTGTTCTAGCTACACCCCCCTCCAGCTGTTCTTGCTACACCCACCCAGCTGTTCTTGCTACACACCCCCAGCTGTTCTTGCTACACACACCCCAGCTGTTCTTGCTACACCCCCAGCTGTTCTTGCTACACCCCCCAGCTGTTCTTGCTACACCCACCCAGCTGTTCTTGCTACACACCCCCAGCTGTTCTTGCTACACCCCCCATCTGTTCTTTGCTACACCCCCCAGCTGTTCTTGCTACACCCCCAGCTGTTCTTGCTACACCCACCCAGCTGTTCTAGCTACACCCCCCCTCCAGCTGTTCTTGCTACACCCACCCAGCTGTTCTTGCTACACACCCCAGCTGTTCTTGCTACACCCCCCAGCTGTTCTTGCTACACCCACCCAGCTGTTCTTGCTACACCCCCCAGCTGTTCTTGCTACACACACCCCAGCTGTTCTTGCTACACCCACCCAGCTGTTCTTGCTACACACCCCAGCTGTTCTTGCTACACCCACCCAGCTGTTCTTGCTACACACCCCAGCTGTTCTTGCTACACACACCCCAGCTGTTCTTGCTACACACCCCAGCTGTTCTTGCAACACACCCCCAGCTGTTCTTGCTACACACCCCTTCTGTTCTTGCTACACACCCCAGCTGTTCTTGCTACACACCCCAGCTGTTCTTGCTACACACCCCAGCTGTTCTTGCTACACACCCCTTCTGTTCTTGCTACACACCCCAGCTGTTCTTGCTACACACCCCCAGCTGTTCTTGCTACACACCCCAGCTGTTCTTGCTACACACACCCCAGCTGTTCTTGCTACACACCCCAGCTGTTCTTGCTACACACACCCCAGCTGTTCTTGCTACACACCCCAGCTGTTCTTGCTACACACCCCCAGCTGTTCTTGCTACACACCCCCCAGCTGTTCTTGCTACACACACCCCCAGCTGTTCTTGCTACACACCCCAGCTGTTCTTGCTACACACACCCCAGCTGTTCTTGCTACACACCCCAGCTGTTCTTGCTACACACCCCAGCTGTTCTTGCTACACACCCCAGCTGTTCTTGCTACACCCCAGCTGTTCTTGCTACACACCCCAGCTGTTCTTGCTACACACCCAGCTATTGGGGGGAGCGTGGAGGCCAGGGTACAGCGAGGTACAAGAGGGGTACGGGGCAGCGGAGGCCAGGGTACAGCGAGGTACAGCAAGGTACAGGAAGGTACGGGGCCGTGGAGGGCCAGGGTACAGCAAGGTACAGCAAGGTACGGGGCCGTGGAAGGCCAGGGTAGAGCGAGGTACAGCAAGGTACAGCAAGGTACAGGGCCTCGGAGGGCCAGGGTACAGCGAGGTACAGCAAGGTACGGGGCCGTGGAGGGCCAGGGTACAGCAAGGTACAACAAGCTACGGGGCCGTGGAGGGCCAGGGTACAGCGAGGTACAGCAAGGTACGGGGCCGCGGAGGGCCAGGGTACAGCGAGGTACAGCGAGGTACAGGAAGGTACGGGGCCGCGGAGGGCCAGGGTACAGCGAGGTACAGCAAGGTACGGGGCCGCGGAGGGCCAGGGTACAGCAAGGTACAGCAAGGTACGGGGCCGTGGAGGCCAGGGTACAGCAAGGTACGGGGCCGTGGAGGCCAGGATACAGCAAGGTACGGGGCCGTGGAGGGCCAGGGTACAGCAAGGTACAGCAAGGTACGGGGCCGTGGAGGGCCAAGGTACAGCAAGGTACAGCAAGGTACGGGGCCGTGGAGGGCCAGGGTACAGCGAGGTACAGCAAGGTACGGGGCCGTGGAGGGCCAGGGTACAGCGAGGTACAGCAAGGTACGGGGCCGTGGAGGGCCAGGGTACAGCAAGGTACAGCAAGGTACGGGGCCGTGGAGGGCCAAGGTACAGCGAGGTACAGCAAGGTACGGGGCCGTGGAGGGCCAAGGTACAGCGAGGTACAGCAAGGTACGGGGCCGTGGAGGGCCAGGGTACAGCGAGGTACAGCAAGGTACGGGGCCGTGGAGGGCCAAGGTACAGCGAGGTACAGCGAGGTACAAGAAGGTACGGGGCCGTGGAGGGCCCGTCACTGCTACTACGTCAGTGAACCAACGGTGTGTGAAGGCAGGCCGAGTGCTCTGGATAACCCGCCTTAAATCCCGCCCCGGCTACACCCTCTTATCTACACCCTCCCTCTACACCTTCCTACATCCTCGCGGGAACACCACAACCTCTTAACTTATTCTTTTACATATTCTACACCCTGCGGGCTATACTTCTCTGGATACACACACATGCAGGTGTACCCACACACCTGGATCCTCCTGGATACACAATCACATCTTCATACATCTGGCTTGAGCATCTTTAAGCTCTTCTTCAAGTTGCTAAACACACCTGTCTCAGTCTGGCTATTTACACACCTGTCTCAGTCTGGCTAGTTACACACCTGCCTCCGTCTGGCTAGTTACACACCTGTCTCAGTCTGGCTAGTTACACACCTGCCTCAGTCTGGCTAGTTACACACCTGCCTCCATTTCCAGTATTTGTTGAATATCGAAGCCTCCTGGTTACACTTAACTATCTCTGAATCTGAAGCTTTAACAGTCTACACCCAGACACTCTTACTGGTGGCTACACCCAGACACACTCTTACTGGGGGCTACACCCAGACACACTCTTACTGGGGGCTACACCCAGACACTCTTACTGGGGGCTACACCCAGACACTCTTACTGGTGGCTACACCCACACACTCTTACTGGGGGCTACACCCAGACACTCTTACTGGGGGCTACACCCAGACACTCTTACTGGTGGCTACACCCAGACACACTCTTACTGGGGCTACACCCACACACACTCTTACTGGGGCTACACCCAGACACACTCTTACTGGTGGCTACACCCACACACACTCTTACTGGTGGCTACACCCAGACACACTCTTACTGGGGGCTACACCCAGACACACTCTTACTGGTGGCTACACCCAGACACACTCTTACTGGGGGCTACACCCACACACACTCTTACTGGGGGCTACACCCAGCTACACCCACACACAACACCCACCAGTGTGTATATTGTACCACCAATAAGAATAGTTATAAATACTAATACTTATTATTATTCATAATCTTATCAATGCCTATCTTCTGTCGATTAAAAATATTCGTCATTATATTTAGATAATTGTGATAATACAGGCCTGTTGTATAATACAGGAACACTGTATTATACAGGACTCGCTGTATCATTCAGGCCAATTGTGAACATATACCAGATTTGTCTGAAAACTATAACCCAAAATGCTGTACTGATATTCAAGTTATCATATATTTTTTATACACAAGTTCATCATAAAAGCCGCTGTTAAGTTCAAAGTTCATTAGTCAGTGGTCAAGTTAAGATAGAAGCCATTAACGTTCTCAACACGGCTGAAGCTAAGGTAAGCTAGACGCTTAAGTACAACAAATGAAATAGTTAGCGATGCTGAGAGCTGGAGAGCTGATCCTTTCATCTCCTGACTCCCAGCATCTCCCATCACACACCTCTGGCGGTCACCAGCATCACCCATGCCACACACACACACACACACACACACACACACACACACACACACACACACACACACACACACACACACACACACACACACACACAGTGTCAGAGTGGTTGACAAATGGAATGCATTAGGAAGTGATGTGGTGGAGGCTGACTCCATACACAGTTTCAAGTGTAGATATGATAGAGCCCAATAGGCTCAGGAATCTGTACACCTGTTGATTGACGGTTGAGAGGCGGGACCAAAGAGCCAGAGCTCAACCCCCGCAAACACAACTAGGTGAGTACAACTAGGTGAGTACACACACACACACACACACACACACACACACACACACACACACACACACACAGGTGTGTGTGGCACTCTTCTAATTCTAAAGCAAACAAATTTATTGGTAGTGAGAAGCCATGCAGACTAAGACACCCTTCGTGTACAAACCCACAAGGGCCGTGACGAGGATTCGAACTTACGTCAACATAAACACCCTTCGTGTGTTTATATTTTCCACGGTGGAAGATATTGATCAGTAAGTCAGGTGTGTACCCGGCAGGTGTGTACCCGGCAGGTGTAGGCTCCTCAGTGTGTGTCTTAGCGTCTCCAAGGTGTCACCAGCTCCCAGTTACATTAATGCCAGTAATGTTAAATGAACAACTCTACAAGGGTCATGATGAGCCAGTAGTATTGTATCTGTGTTGTGGGCTGTGTTGTTTCAGTGTGGTATTGCGGCAATGCTATAGTTGCAAGTTGTATTTCATTATGTCATATTAATTATATACATTTAAGGTCAATTGACACTTTTCAATGTTGATAACCCCCACCCCACTTAAGTTGGGCACGGACCCGGCAGGAATCACCGTGCAAAATTGGGTGAGGCTAGCTGCAAGCATCTGGCCTTCAACCTTGGACAGACATGTGTGTGAATACTCACCCACTTAGTTATACTTAAGAGGATTAAGCTTTCAGCTCTTGGCCCCGCCTTTCGACTGCCAGTCAACTGGTATACAGCTCCCTGAACCAATTGGGCTCTATCATATCTAACCTGAAGCTGTGTATGGAGTGTGCCTTCCCTACATCTCTTCCTAGTGTAATATATTCGATTTGTTAACTACTTTGACACCGGAAAAATATCTTTCTGACTCTGTAGCTCACTTGGGTACTCAGTTTCTACCTGTGTCCTCTTGTTCGCGTCCCACCCGTGCAATAGTGTTTATATTTACCTTATCAACTCCCCCCCCCTAAGAATTATGTATGCCGTAATCATGACTCCCTCCCCTTAACTCTTCTATCTTCTAGCGACTCAATTCCTGTAGCCTTTCCTCGTAATTCATACCTCGTAGTTCTGGAGCCAGTCTGACAGCATACCTTTGAACTTTCTCCAAGTTAGTCTAGTTCTCATGTTAGCCAACCTCGCACACGCTGTTAATGAAATCCTTTTGACGAAGACTTCTGGAGACAGCTTCGAAGTAATTTCATGCCAGCCTTTGGGTTTCTGGTCCCTTTCCTTGAATAAGTTATCTACACTTCCACCAGATACTAAGACGTCAATGCGGGGACCTGCTGCTTGGGTAACAGCTTCTCCCACATATCAACCTACCCTGGTTTTGTGCCCTGGTGAGGCCACTCCAGACCGACAACCAGAGCCCAACTCCATAGTCTCCCGAGACTGGTGGATGCCTACTAATGCACTGTAAGCAGTCATTCAGTCACGCGGGTTTCCAAAGTGATTTATCCTTGATGGCCGACTCGTTCAGGTTATCTTGAGATGATTTCGGGGCTTTTTAGTGTCCCCGCGGCCCGGTCCTCGACCATGCCTCCACCCCCAGGAAGCAGCCCGTGACAGCTGACTAACACCCAGGTACCTATTTACTGCTAGGTAACAGGGGCATAGGGTGAAAGAAACTCTGCCCATTGTTTCTCGCCGGCGCCTGGGATCGAACCCAGAACCACAGGATCACAGGACCACAGGATTCAGAAGGAATATCAGGTCAGGTTTCCTGGTATTTGTCATTACCTCTTATTCTTGTTGGTCCCCGGACATGGCTAAGAAAGTTTCAGCTTGCCACGTCAACCTGTTTAGCTCTCCATGTCTCTGTGCCACCATGCGGTTGTTTTTCCCAGTCAATCTTTCCATGTCTCTGTGCCACCACGCGGTTCTTTTCCCAGTCAATCTTTCCATGTCTCTGTGCCACCATGCGGTTGTTTTCCCAGTCAATCTTTCCATGTCTCTGTGCCACCACGCGGTTCTTTTCCCAGTCAATCTTTCCATGTCTCTGTGCCACCATGCGGTTGTTTTCCCAGTCAATCTTTCCATGTCTCTGTGCCACCACGCGGTTGTTTTCCCAGTCAATCTTTCCATGGTTGAAGTCTTCCATTATCACAAGTCCAGATCCATTTCTACATGTGACCCTGGAAACACAAACCGAAACTGTCTCTATTTTCCGCTTGTTACAACTTGTAATAAAGTTGTTACATCTTGGCTTAACGTGTTTATGACGTATTAGAACGTTGTTACAACTTGCTATATTGGTTGTTATAACTGGTTAGGAGGTGTTAAAACTTGTTCGAACGTTGTACCAACGTCGTAGTTTCGGTGTTTGTTTGGCGGGGACAGAGGCTGCTCTTTCTGTTATAGTAATAATTCCCACGCTCTTTCTGTCACATTTCTGTCTCGGTCTTCAGTAAATTAGTGGAAGACTGTGAATCATTATTACTAATATATTTAGTCCTCCCATTTTCATGGTGCCTGTTATGTAGTCTCTGAGCCCTAAGCGGACTTTCATATCTATCTCCTTAACACTCCAGTGTTTTCTTATCAGCAGCAGCGTTCAATCCCCGACCGTCCACACAAGTGGTTGGGCACCATTCCTTTTCCCCCCGTCCCATCCCAAATCCTTATCCTGATCCTTTCTTAGGGCTATATAGTCTAATGGCTTGGCGCTTTCCCCTGATAGTTCCCTTTCCCTTCCCTTCCCTTCCCTTCCCTTCCCTTCCCTTCCCTTTCCTTCCCTTCCCTTTCCTTCCTTCTCCCTTCCCTCACTATACTCTAGTCCTTGGGTAAAAGTGAATTTATTATGATGCCTGACAATTTCGTTTCTGTGATTGCTATTACAACGGAGTTATCGTCTTGTGGTCTTTCCTCAACTTTACGTGCAGTGTGTGTGTGTGTGTGTGTGTGTGTGTGTGTGTGTGTGTGTGTGTGTGTGTGTGTGTGTGTGTGTGTGTGTGTGTGTGTGTGTGTGTATTCACCTAGTTGTATTCACCTAGTTGTGCTTGCGGGGGTTGAGCTCTGCTCTTTAGGCCCGCCTCTCACCTGTCTACCATCTTCATGCTCTTCAACACTTTCAACACTCTGGCAGATATCTTGCCGCTCGTCAGCTCTCAACTGTCAATCAATCAACGATCATTTCCCCCCCCCCCCACCCAGGAAGCAGCCCGTAAGAGCTGTCTAACTAATTAGGCAGCTGTAAGTCTAATTTACTGCTAGGTAACAGGGGGGCAGCATCGGGGTGAAAGAAACTCTACCCATTTGTTTTCCACCATCGCCGGGGATCGAACTCCGATCCCCAGGATTACGAATCCTGAGTGCTGTCCACTCGGCCACCAGGCGCCCCATTGTGCCACACCACTAATTGTCCTCAACCTGAAAATATATAATACTTTCATTCCCCATTTAAAGCAGTATGACCGAGAGGAACCACAACGTATATGTAGACGATAATATATAATAACTACACATAACCAAACCTTTAAAAAACACATGAACCACAGAATCTATCAATCGTCAAACAGGAAAAAACAAAAAAAACACACATAATTCCGGTGTGAAACGAGAATTCCAGTTGACCAAAAAAACACCAAAATTTGCATGGAGGTCTATCCTCCCCCCTCTCCTCCCTCCCTCCCCCCTCCCTCTCCCCCCCCTCCCCCTCCACCCCACCATCGCGACAAACCCGCAGCAACGGAGCCCAACCGTTCTACAATGACCAAAACAAGAGAAACACCCCTAATCGGATCCTAGCACCACAACAATGGCGGTGAGTCTCATTCACCCCGTGAGAGCCGACAGATGGCGGGGCCCGGTCTCTGCTGCACCGCCCCAGGCAGGCTGTCAGGGAGGCTGTCAGGCAGGCTGTCAGGCAGGCTGTCAGGGAGGCTGTCAGGGAGGCTGTCAGGCAGGCTGTCAATACGCGCGCACTTGTCTAATGTTGTTTATGACCTGCGAATATTGTCCGGGACAATATGCACGGTATTGCCAAGTGAAGGGTTGTGTGCGTGTGTGTGTGTGTGGGTCTGCACCTTGTGCACACGCACACACGCACGCACGTGTGTGTGTGGCGGGTAAGACCGCAGTAAGAGGCTTGAAGTGTAATGCACAAGAGGTCAAAGGTAGCAGGTGTTTGTGCTACAGGTGTGCTGCCCTGTGTATCTCTTGCACAGGGCATGACACCATCACCACCCCGGGCCTGTGCACCTCTCTCACCATGCTGCTCATGCCACACGCTCAGCACGACCTGTGCATCACGTATACCACACTGAGAGAGAGAGAGAGAGAGAGAGAGAGAGAGAGAGAGAGAGAGAGAGAGAGAGAGAGAGAGAGAGAGAGAGAGAGAGAGAGAGAGAGAGAGAGAGAGAGAGAGAGAGAGAGACAGACAGACAGAGACAGAGAGAATGAGGAGAATAGCCAGTATGGGATGATTAATGTTGGTAGGTTTGGTGTAGACGGGGCCACCATCATTACTGGTGTGTGTGTCACAGGTGTGGCCGGAGTCCGGTGTGTCCATAACAACGAAGCCAT